GCAGAAGACTTTCGATGAGTTATTTTTTAATAATACTCATTTAAGAAAAATAAAATGATGAGGATTCACTGGATTCTCTATGAGTGTCTCGTAAAAAAAAAGTACCTGCAACATAGAAACAAAGAAATATAGTTTTCAATCTATTTTTAGAGGTTTTAATGAATTTTGCATTTATTCATTTTCTGTGACTCTTGTAATATTTTAAAAAAGAAGCCATAGAAAATGTAATAAATCCTCCTCTTTTTTCAGAAATTTATGGTACTAATTAGTAAAAAAAAAACAGCAATTTCATATTAAATTCTTCTAGGATAAGAAGGCTACTGTTTTCAACTATGCTGAAGCTATATCCTGATAGTTTATCTATGATATATGTTTGAGTTTTCGATTGATATAAAAGTAATAAAACGTTTTATAACAAATGGTTTGTTGTAATAAATACCATTAGTTTGAATATCATTCGTATGATTGTGTATTCTTGATTGAATATATCTGCTGAAATTTATTTATTGAACATCTACATTGTTCAGAAACAATTAATGAATTGTTAATCATCATAGAGTCTATTGTAACTAATACTTTCGACACGTTGTCTTAAGAATCATCTTTCATAATTATTATTATTATACAGCTGTATCTAATAGTTTTTCTTTTTTTTTAACTGAACCATATGTTATATAAGATTTTCTTACACTTAAATTTGTATTTAATGAATTAGATATAGGTATATTATCACCATGTGTACTTGTCGATGTTGTAGTAGGTACAAGACTTTTAATATGTTTTCGTTCTAAATAACGTAAAATAATTGATGTTTGAACATTTTGTTGTCCAAAAATAAGTTGAAATAATTTATCATGAATTAATCGACATAATGATAATGCAACACTTCGAAATTTATTACCAATAAGACAATAAAATATAAAAGATAATGCATGATAAGAATTTTGAAATAAACGTAAAAATTGATTTAATTGTAAGAAAATTTTTATTGATGATGATTTTAAAAAAAAATAATTTGAAATTGATTGAATTATAAGACTAATATTAAAAGGTCCTGTCATAATTAAAAATACAAAATTTATTACAATTAATAATATTGATGAATTATCTTGAGCAGATATAATACGTTGATTTACATGACATATTCCACCAGAACTAGCCATTGAACGTCGTCTTTCATATATTTTAATCATAATAAATATACTACTTGTTAATATAATTAAAAATGGAATAATTGCATAAACAAATGTATCAATAATATTCCATAGAAAACAGACAGAACATTTAATAGGTTTTATTGATTGATTATGAAAAAAATTTGTATGATAAACAATGGAAATATTTTTTAAAAATTTTAAATTATTTATTGGATAATGAGTTGCACGTTGAAATTGTTTAATTTCATAAGTTGATCTATCATGACATATATGATTATTATATAGAATACCATAATTAAATAAAATTTGAGCATCAAAAATAAATAATGGTAGAATAACACAACATATAAGAATACTCAATGTTGATGTCTATAGAAGAAAAATAAAAATAAAAAATAGTTCTTAGTTATACATTTCAAAAGAAGATTATTTTTTTCAAGAACATGCGCAGTAGACAAGAGCGTGGATATTAGGGGAAAAAATGAAAGTAAGTTTTTTTCGGGAATTGAATAATAATTCGCATACACTTTGATTGACGACCAGATTTATAATAAAAAAAATAGCGTCAGCTGTTAAATTCATTTTCAAAATGGACTAGTGTCAGCATCTTTAGAGAAAAACATCATTTTTTTTTGTGAAAAATGAAAAGAGCTAGACAATTAATCATACACGATCTGAGAGTAGGACTTTTGCTCTATCGATTTCTATTTACGCTAAGCATTTTCCGAAAAGATATCTTCAATAAAATTAGTCGCCACCTTTTCTCCACTAATCTAATGTCGAAAAAACTCTTAGGGAATAGTCTTGTGTATCGAAGACATATACTCGATTAGTGCAAATGTTTCTGAACTGAGATCTGCGTTTTCTAAAGACATTGGTTTTATAGATTTTTCGTATTTTTTGTTGTCACAGAAGTACTTTGAGAGAAAATTAAAGAAATATTAGGAAATTCTCCTCAGAGATTTTTCATCACAAATGATCTTTTTATCATCAATTTAATGTTTGATTATAACAATCTAATATTTCTATGAAAGAAACTAACCCATGCACACGTGCTTGATAGAAATCATCTACTATGTAGCGTTGGGTTGGACTGAGAAATTCATTTTTTAAATAATAAATTGTATACAGGAATGAAGTGTATATGCTTGAGGTTGGGTTCAATTGAATGAAAACTCTCGTCCATGAAAAGTGATTACCTCGGATTGTTTTAAGTCCAGTTCAACTTGTTGACTTAAATTTTTCTGTAGATATACGATAGACAATGGCTGTACTATTGGTAAAAACCACATGTCAAATGACAGCGTTTTAATTAAGTTACACCTACCAATACCTATTCATTTTATTCATTTTTTTTCCATTGTATAAATATGGACTAGATAATGTTTTATTTTAAATATTAGAATTCAAAGAGACATAAAAACAATCATTTAGTTCTTCTAGTTGTTAATGTTAATATTGAAGTGATTCAATGAAGTACTTGGGTTTAGTTAACAGTAATAAGATGAATTTTCTGAAAACAGGATATTATCATTTCTTGCCTTTTTGTATAATATAATCGAAGAATTTTTACTTATATTATCCAAATATTTTTTTAATATTTTAAAACAAAGAAATCTTAAAACTATAATTTTTATTATGATATTTATTCGATTAACAAAGACTCATATACTTAATTTTTAGCAATATATAATAAATTCTCACTAAAACAGAAAAAAATTCATAGTCAGAATAATTATCTCGTATCCTAATTCATGACAAATGATTGACCATATATCGAACTAACTATATATAGGTTTTTTTTTATAGAAATAAATGTACGTTATAAGTCACTCGCTCGATGTTCTTTAAATCTCATTAACTTTTATTCTCGAACAGAAAAAGACATATCCTAAGTTTATTTATCAAAATTTGTTTGCTCATATTATTAACCATCTACTTAAAAATTTTCAACACGACTTAATAAATATTCATAGCTATTTAATATTCATTCTTAGTTATATTCTGTTTTTCAATATTTCTCATTGTAAAGCTGTTTATTCTCAAGAACTATTTAATAAATATTCATTGCTATTTATGTTGTTTTTTTGATATTTCTAAATGTATGGCTATTTAACATCAAGCACTTTTTTTTTGAAGAAAGACTTTCTTGTAAATAATGTACACTTCGGTTAATCGATGTACGAAAAGCAATAAATCCATGATAAACATTTAACTATCGGGTACTAAAATTTATCAAGAAGATATTATGCCGTAATACCATGAAGAAAATCTATGAAGTATTCAATGTCAGTAAAAGAAAAGTCAGCTATTACAAAAAATTTTGAGCATTGACAATAAAAAACAAAAGATCGAAAATATAATATAATAGATAAACAAGACATACACAAAAAAAACAATAAATAGAAAATCAGCTGGATAATTTTGTTTCTTGAATAGTTATGAATCCTTTATAATAGCTACGATCATTTTTTAATAGAGTTAAGTTTGAATAACTTATAACATGATGAAGATCGATAAGCCAAATGTTATTATAAAAAGTGTTGCTATTTAAATCTTTCATTAGCTGTATATGATGGGAAAAAGTATTTCATTTGAGAAGCTACACTCTCGATAGTAAATGATAATGTTAATAATCAAATAGATGTTAACACATTTAAATAGTGCAAAGTCAAAAAAGCTGTGTTTCGGACTCTAGAGAAAAGAACAATATTTTCATCGTAAATTCTTTGGAGTAAGTTCTATTGATCTTAGATTACTGCTTACGATCATGGTTTATTGAATTCTATTTGTAATCAAAATACCAAGCTAAAGAATTGAATTTTGTATGGTATATATCGGAGATTCATCTTGTAGTGCGAGTTAGTATAGAAGTTCTAAGACTACGATCTTATTTTGTATGACATCATCTGATTGTACAAGATCTGACGTCTGATTTTGCAACATGGATGATTTGAGTGTACTTATAGTTTAAAGGAAATGTGGTTTTGACGGAAGTCAATCATTCTAGTAAGACACATACAAAAATTTATGCAATGAGATATAAAAAGGAAGTGCAAACAGAAAACAGTAGTTTTTCATCCTGTATATCAACTATTACAATTGCGAACTGCTTTCTATCACCAGTCTCATACATATAAAGAAAATAGAACGAGAAACATAATTATTAACTTTTGAAAATCATAATATTCTTATATATATATATATTATTTTTGGGAAACAAATCATGAGATGAAATAGTCCATGGTATGAACATATGATTATGTTAATAGAAAAAGAAATTATAGGTCTTCTATGTGTTTCTATTCATTTATTTATGCAGAGGAATGATGAAAGGTCGGCTGAGACTAGAAAACTTCGTAAAATGATAGAAGTTCAATGATCGCATGTAGTAAGTGTTTTTTTTTCGATTCGTTCGGGCATCCACACAATCGAGCGTATAAATAAAATAGAAAATGATACCTTAAATGAAGGCATTTATTAATTAGCTACTTGTACATACCCATGATTTTGTTCGATGAGAATATAAACTAAGTAATGCATATACACGTTGAATACTTGTTGAAACAAGTTGCCATGAACAAAGATGTCCAGTAAATGCTACAATAAATGTATGTAAACGACACATATTTGATGAAATATTACGTAAATCTTGATGATAAGTATTTAGATGACGAATTGATATTGCTAATAAATATAAAATATTAAAAGCACATAATATAGTTAAATTACGATAAACACTTAAACGACGTAAAGTTTTATTTAATAAAATTATCATTGATAAACCATTTCCAATAAAACCTATTGTAAATATGAATATTGTTAAATAAACTATAATTGTTAAAGTTGAATCATTTTGTGGAAATATTGATGTTGAATTAAAACATTCAATAACTCGTCGAATTGTATGAAAAACACAAAAATATGATGAATTTGAATATGAATTCACATGTCGTAATAGATATGGACATGTTATTGATTCATTTGTATTTATTTTACACCAACATGCTTCAAAATAATTAGCTTTACATAATGATAAATTACTTTGAGAAATAATAGTATCCTAAATAATGAAAAAATTTTTCAATTTTAAACAAATTTCTTCTCGACAGATGTCAAACATATTATTTAGAAACTGTTGAAAATAAATTTTTAATTTATTTTCTATTAAGTTTATAATATCATTAGATGTCATTTTAGTTAATTGAATATTGTTACTATTTATATATTTCATTGCAATGTTTCAACTTTTTAGCTTAGAATAATGACATCTTCTTCTTTTTTTTTTTATGAAGATTTACAATATCGAAAACTTATCTGTAGTATCATAGTTTACTAAATATTTAATCTTATGACAAATAGGGACACAAAAATAGATTAGAATAATATAACCTAGAATTCGAATTCCCTTTTATATAATATAAACATTTTTATAAAAGTAGATTTTCTTTTCATTGAAAATTTATGGCAAGAATAAAATTTTTCAGCTAAACTAAACTTATTAAAAATCAATGAAATCTGTATTAATTCTTGATATTTATTGCTTGATCTGAATAAATTTTAATTGATGAAATATATCTAAAGTAAATTTTACATTTCTAAAATCATTTAAAAATTTTGAGAGATGACATCTTCTTCTATAATTTAACTTTTATCACTATTTCAATAATTTCTACTTATTGATTTGCCCTTCTTTTTTTTATTCTGTTATTTTCAATCACACTTACTTTACGTAAAGCTTTTGTCATGTTCATCTTCCCACTTAATGGCTGTTGTCTTTCCCTGCCGTGGAATGAAAAGTGCAAGTATATATGAATATGTTCATATTAAACCTTTTCTTCCAATAAGAATCTTGTGACGTCTTTGTCATTATGCACGTCATTACTAGAGGCATTTCTCTTAACAGCACAAACGATTATTATAAAATACATGTCACATTACATATGGGAACAATCGCAATAGAAATAATAGACTTCTGAATATTTATCATGATAAAAAAAAATAATTTCCCTAATGTGACTACTTTTCACGAGCAAAAACAAAGACTAAGATTTACTAATTCTTTTATATCCCTATATGTATGCTAAATATTGTCTCTTTGTCAATTAATGCAATTATTAACGGATTGATTTCAAAAATACGTCATACTAATTGATATGTGTTCTGCTTAAGCCATTCATTATTATTAGATTGTAATAAATTATCTAAAATTTTAATTTTTGTTTCTTACTTCATCAAAATAATCATTTAATTCTGGTATTCCTGCCATAGGTTGTTTAATAATATGATTACTAAAAAAACTGTAAACAAAATATGATATATTCTAAGTATTTAAAGAATTACCCTGGTAGAAATTTTTTTTCCTTTTCTTCTTTTCTTTCTTTTGATGTATTTCTCGACTCAATAGTGTGATAGATAGTATCGGTGAGGAATGTTAATGTTATATATTTAAGACGTTGATTGGATGTAAGGAGGATAATGAAAGAAAAAAAAATAGAGAAAGAGAGTACTTGCTAAGAGCTCTTCAATATTTTTCCATCCGGTTTTATGTTTCTTTGCTTGTTTTTTCAAGTTGTCATATACCAACGAGATAAATTTGAATCCGAAGGTAGATTCTCATTGAAAAAGAAAACCTATGAGATAGCATGGGCGAGGATCAAGTTACGAACAACTGTCGAAATTAAATTATTGCAAGAAAACGAAACAATCTTTTAGTTTCGTTATACGGAATAGTATTCTTAAGTAGTCAGAACAATTCTATTTGATTATGACCACACTATAAAGTCAAACAATTAATTTTCAGGAAGTAGAATGTATAAAAGAATTATCAAGGCCTACGATTGATTTATTTAACCTTTTGGTGACCGCTAATACATATATGTGTCATTAGCTTCATCGAGTGATAATGCATATTTTTTCGACACATTTGCGTAAAAGCAAACGTCAAACAGCTGGAGCTTTCAACATTATTATTTTTTACCACCCATATTGCAATCCTGCATTAGGAAACAAAACTGTGCGTGATATAAAGACACTCTATTTCACACATGAATATCTTTTGTTGACAAATAAAGAATAAATTGAAATTTCTATAAGATATATTTAGTAGATACAATTAATCATATGCCAAAGGCAAGCTTCTCATTATCATTATATTTTTATCTCTATCATTCTTGATCTTATCATTATAGAACATATTTATAAGCACAATTAATTTTATCTTTCATTGTAGACTATTTCAGTTTTGCTTCACATCTTATTTGATTAGAAAAGCAATTAGTATTCAATAGAAATATGACAATAGTAGGGTGCCAGTAATTCAACTATCAAGCAAAACTTTTCTGCAATATTTTACACGGTTCAATAGAGCACGACGATTTCGCTTTTTCCATACAGAGGAGAAATGCTTAATTTTCTAACAAATTTTGTTTCTTCCGATTGCTATCTTTGATGTAATGTGATTAGAAAAGTGTTGATTAGATATAATATGAAAAATTGCATCTAGTTACATGATTTAAACTATGTCACTAAATGCAGTTTTTCTTGCTGCATCCAATGAACATTTTCCCAAAATTTCTACCATCAAAAATAACAATCGAAAAGTGAAGTTTTTCCAAGTTTCTTGTAGAGTTCGTCGAACTCTAACAAATCATGTAAAAATATTACAAAATTTTTCTCGATTTTTCAATTACCGGCATTTTAACATATCAAAAGAAAAATAAACTAGTAATAATCGTAAATACAGAACAAATTAATTCATAAGCATATCTGTCTGAAAAAGCCATTGTTCGAACAATTCTTGTTCATTTAGTAATTTTATAAAATTCAATTTAGCGGTAATTTTACTAAAAATGAGAAACAGATTTTTATTTTTGACCTTTATGTTTTCGGTTACCAATCAATTATCATGTTTTTCTGAATGTCATAATATTAAGATAGATATTTCGAAACCATTTGATGAACCATCAGAAAAATATAGATGCGTTACTGATACTCGAGCAACAAGATGTTACGGACGAATAATGATTTACTATGATGACGTTACTAATCAATCACATATATCATATTCATTTGGTTCAGATAATCATATTATAGAAAATGAAATCGAAGAAATAGCAAATGAAAACGATTTTAAATTTATAATATATTTCTTATTTTTAGTAGAATCTTTTGATACTAAAGAATTAGTTATTAGTGCATACATTATATGCGGAACAATAGATAATTGTGCTTTGAATTATGTCAAAACTTTATTTAATTTATTCAATACAAAAATAAATCCAATAAATCAATTAAGTAAATTACTTTATAACAGTAATGAATCATCTGTATTACGTTGTTATGATTATAAAACGGGGAAAAAGATTGAATGTTTAACATATGACTATCCAACATGTATTATTAATAATACTGCTTTCTTTGAACAAGGATGTTATTCAGATTCGAATACAAAATTAGAATATGTATTTATGATTACATCATCAAAGAAACAGTCAATAGAAAAAGTATTTGAATTAATTATATGCAATAGAGATAGTTGTAATGACGAATTAATATTAAAAGAGATTGAAATTATTGTATATAATTATACATTATGGTTCAATGTGACATTAAATAATTCTAATAAACCTATGTTCTATTTATTCAGTTTGATTACTTTATTAATATTTAGAAATATTTTTTGAAGATTAAATCTAGAAAACTTTTTAAAAAAATATCGTATTAGTATCAATAAGAATGTCTATATTTGGAAATAGAAGAAAATTTTATTTCAAATATTTTCGAAGACTTTTTGTAATCTAAATAAATACTTCGATATAATATCTAATAAATTCTATTCTTCAAAATAAAACTAACTTCATTATAAATATAACTTGAATAACAATTCTAATGTAGCCAAAAATCTACATACCATCATGACACGAAAACTTATGTTCATCAACTATTAACTCAATATGATTTATAGACAAGGAATCATTCTATGAACATTGCCAGTTGGCAAACACTGAGCGTGAACCTCCCGATTTCGGTCGTTCTTGGTATCGAAAATGATCGAACTCAGACCTTCCCGTCTGTTTCCGATATCGATGCTTAATTACTTGTTCGATTACGATGCAGGGTATTTCCTGAGATTTGAAGCTCGATAAAATTAATTTATCTATGAACGGAGATTAATCCCTAATCAAATTTATTGAGATACACTCAGAATACTCCTGTTAAGGTCTTGACTAATAAATATATAAAAATGATAATATAATGATGGATTTTTCGAAATCGATCAACGAGATATTTTATTAAAAAAGGGAAACGTTTTTTATTTTATAAATACAACGATTTTTCTGATAAAAGAAATCTTATTTTACTATTATCTATTTATTTTCCACGCTTTTTTTAATATTTGTCTGCCACGTCTCTTAGGACTTTTATTAATTCCTTTTCGTTTTACAATCATCACAAGTTGTTATTTTTTACATTCTTCCTTCAAAATAGTTTTCAGTTGTTTATTGAGCAATAACATTTTGAGATAAAATTTCATCATTAAATAATTCATTAATAGTCTGTAATATAATCTTTCTTTTGAGTCTACTTCGTCTTGAAATATAATATATTATTGAAATAATACTTGAATTTCTTTACCAGTACCTTGTTTTTTTTATAAATCTAGCATATAATCTTCTATTGTTTGTGTTTATCGTTTGCTTCTATTTTGTAATTATGAAAATATGTTTAGTAATTTATTGAAAAGTTTTTCACAAAAATCATATTGATCGATTTAAAAAAAATTATCATCGAATTATTATATTTAGATGTTTTTGTCCTTAATACAACACAAGACGTCACTGAGTAGGATGTCATTTGAATGACAGATATGAATATTCAAAGCTCATGTACATACATTTGGATACGACATTAGTTCCTGTCTGGGTTACCAGAAGTGCAAAATTAAATCAGAAGTTGTTTTTTCTTTTCTTGATATATTGTTTAGATAGAGCATGGCGAGTGACTCAAGGAAATGTAATGTTTTCAATTTGTTTGGGATGGTTTTTTAGTGAAAACCTTCAGTTTTTCCAGAGGATCTGTTTTCGATAATGGATCGGTTTTCAATTTTCTCATTTTCTTTAAATTTTCAAACTGTTTATTTCAGATTTAGCGTGAAAAATTGAGTATAAGAAACAAATTTATAAATGCGTTTGATTATTAAACTTATTTCGTGACGTGAATGGACGCTTTAGTTACTATTGAATATCAATTTAAAAAAAACATGTTAGATAATATTCATCTTTTCTATTCAGACTATTATCCTTGAAAAAAACTGTAAAACTTTAATTGAAAAGCATTGGAGTTGAAGGATCACAAATAGCACAACATTTTTGCTTATCTTTCATAAATGTGCCATATTCCTTTAAGAACATTTATGATCATGGACCTTTCAGGAAGCAAAATCAACACTCAATTGTTTCAAGGTGAGGTAGTTTTATTAAAACCAGGCTTACCAAACCTCCTGATTGTTGAACTTTTCTCCTGATTTCTCATGATTTTTAGTTTTTTTCCTACTTGGTTGTTAGCGATACTATGAACCAATAAGAGAGTTCAAAGGAAAAAAGAGAACTATTGCAGTATTTAATAGTTATAATAATGAATCGGAAAATACTTGTTTTTATCTCATTTTTCTCTAAAAAAAAAATCATCAATTACATGACCTAATTGTATACAAAGTACTTGTTTTACTGGAGATAGCAGAAAAGTACATGTTATTGTCTGAAAAACAAGATCTTGAAAATCAGACCAGAGACCGATAGACAAAATTTTAAATGACCAAGCCAGATGTCTCTCATCTGGAAAGAATTTTGCATTTCTTGGAAATCACGTCGGATCCTTTTTAGCTCAGAATAGGACAATATCTTGAATAACCTAGCAAGATTCCTGCGTTTCATTTTCATTATTAGTATGGAGTTGCTATAGCCTCATTTGTACTGCTATTTTGTTGTCAAAGTTTGATAGGAATTACAAACATGAACAGAATGAATAGATCTATAAAACAACAAAGAAAAAAGTGAAGGCATCGATAAAAAAGAAGCAAAAGTAATAGCCATTTCGATAAAATGTTCAATTAATAGATCATAAAAGGCTTAAGAGAAAAACAACTTCGTTTGTTAAAAGTTAATTTATCTTGTTTTTATAGCATATTAACGGTATAAAACGCTCATTGCAAAAATGAGCAAAGAAGCATGTGTAAGCGATTCATATAGTGATGTAAGAAACAAAGAGTGATTGTCGTTTTTCCAACTCTGGTAAGAGTCTTTCTATCGTTCTATTAATTTATATAAATACTTTTGCTTGAATTTCACTATGAAAAAGAATTTTGACTGATAGATCAGAATAAAAAAAAGAATCTGAAAAGAATGGAGATAAGAATATTAATTGGCCAAGTTATATAGTAGACATAACTAAAAGAAATGTTTTCATGATTCTTCTATACGGCAAAAAACATTTCTTGTGATAGAACTCAAGTGAAAATAATATCATTGGTATTAAATTATTGATCATCAACTTGACATAAAAGAGATAAAAGTGCTTATGTGAGCGAAAATTCGAATTTTCTACAAGAAAATCACCTAATGTTTTCTGAACTTCAAATAGAAAACCTACTGATTTTTCTCCTGATTTATAAAAGAAATTCTTCTGGTAAACTCCTGTTTTTTTGAAAACAAACTTTTGATTTCCGAAAATTCAATTTGACAAGCCTGATTAAAACGCCAAATTTACATCACCTATTGTTGTGAAAAGAAAATGCAAGTCGACTTGAACCTAAAAGTCTGCAATATGTTTTTAAAGATTTTGAAAAGGATGAATTTATACATTTTAGTTCATGGTAATCGCTTTGAGCCTTTATTGTAAATCAAATTATTTTTAGAATATAGAACACAACATTCCAGTTTTGGATCTGAATCTTTACGTCTTTCTATTATGAAACAAGCCTTAAATCACCTCTGAGATATCATTTAAGCTACATTAAAAAAACTTGTCAATCTACCTGATCGGACAAAGTTAAAGAACAATGGTAAGAGTACTCCATGTAATTCAATAGAAAATTACAGTTTTCCAAAAATAACCTTGTTTAAAATTTTTTCTTCCTCGTACATCAGTTCTCTTATTTCCGATGCTCTATCTATAATAAAAATTTCCGGTGGATCAGCTATAATCTTTTCAAGAATTAGAAGTGACAAAAAAAAAGAACGCCGAGCGAAACATCCATTATTATCTTCAATAAAAGCTTTGTTTAATCACTGTTTTCTTTTATTTAATTTTAATGTTCAAATTCGTTTTTATGATATTTAAAATGATCTTCTAAAAATGTCATAATAAAAAAAGTACCATGTTCATAACCAAGTTGTTCACGTAATTGTATTGGAAATGAAGCATTTGTACAAGCTTCAATAAGTTTATCTGGCAATAAATAATTATCTTTATATTGATCATTTGAACCTTGATCAATTAAAACTGGTGCATATGGCATTGGACCATCATATGAAGCTACAAGTTCACAAGCATCATATTGTTTCCAAAGATCTTCATCTTAAAAAAGAAAAATCTTTTGTTTCTTTTTTTTACAACACAAACAAAAAATAATCAATTTCATCAAACCTTGTCCAAAGAATTTTATAAATGCATTTCTACTCCATTCACATTTCGATGCACTACAAATAGGTGCAAAAGCTGAAACAGATTTATATTGAGCAGGACATTTAAAAAAACTGATTAATGCACCATGACCACCCATACTATGTCTTGACAGATAAAAAAAAAAGTATATAGATCTTTTATGGTTAAAATATTCTATAGTTTACCCGAAAATTCCTATACGATTCATATCAACATTAAAATTTTTTATAAGTAATTCGTAAAATTCATCATTAACATAAGAAAACATTTGGTAATTTGTTGACCATTTACTTTCTGTTGCATCTATGTAATATCCAGCACCTTCACCAAAATCCCATTGATCATGATCACCTTCGATATTACAACCACCTATAATCATATACAAGAAAAAAAAAGCTTTTGGCGCAATCTCTGTGATATTAAAATGTGGAACAAAATGTAGCTGTTGTTCTTAATAAATAAAAAAAAACAGATTGTTTTATTCTGTATATCTTGAAACACATTTCTTCACCATTCTTTTATTTAATCTCCTAGAGATGTAATATTATTTCTGAAATTTCATAATTAGTCACCATGTAAGGAAGGAGTCGATATTTCAGCAGTATTCTGTTGCTTTTCAGGATGATCACAGATCAATTGGTTGAAATCAGGGAGTTCACAAAAAGTTGTACAACTCTCATATGATGTCTTCTAAGAATATCCCCGGAAACTCAATTATGTCCTAGGGTACAAGATATACAGATATAGGAGGTATAGGAGATATAGATTAACTGATACAGCTAACTATTCAATAGTGTTTGAATTTAAACATCTATTCATAAAATATATTGGTATTACTTGCCGATCCTTGCTCGAAAAAATCAATCATAAAAAACAAATAACTGCTTACTATGTCTCTTACATCTCTGTATCTTCTATATCTCCTATACCTATCTATCTCTATCCTAGGACATAATTGAGTTTCCAGGGGTATCCTCCAAAGACATATAATCACAACTCTCGAATGGAACAAGACAGAAATGACAACCTTGCGTAGATCGAAAGGGAAGAATATTTTCTATCGAGTAATTCTATTCAAAATCTAAATCAAAATTCGATCGTTTACTGACAACGTCTACTGTATATCATTCAACACTCTTGTTTTGTGATTGTGTTAAATAAAATATGATGAAGATATTTTTCTTACGAGGACTTGTATCTGGACTGGCAATAATAAAACCATATTTTGATGCTAAACGTTGAACACCAGATTTTGTTATAAAGTCTTGTTCAGTGCAAGTTAAACCTAACAAAGAAGAAATGTTTATTTTATGATTAAACAATAAATCTAACAAACCAGAAAGAAATATTAATAAAGGTACACATTCTTTATCAGCTATTGATGGAACATATACACCAAATTTCATTTTGCAATCAACTGTTAAACTAAAATTTCAATAAGATTCAATAATTAACAAACTTTTTTGTTAGTACCTATCATGACTATAAATATATTGATAACCATCGAAACATTTTGAACTTAGTTCAAGTGTCAATTCTGATGATGATAATAATGACATTTTTGACAAAAATAAATATCAATATATTTCTGTTTGATTATTAGTTTAATTGTGTTTTTGTATTTTATTATCTACTGATTCGAAATGAAAGAAATATTATTAAAGTTTCGATGACAAAAATAATCGATAATATACTGTAAGAGTTGATGGACAAGTTGACATTGTGTTTCTTCCCAAGTACATTATTCAACAGTATGATCAGGGAAACTCCTCTTGGCATACCGAAAATTTCCGGATTTTCTTAATTAACCCTATAAACTCTTCAAAGCATGCTCTATCTATCAAGCATATTTCTAATAATAATTTATAACTTTATAAGTTGATAAACTTCAGAAGATGAAACATTGTTGCTTAAAAAGCACCAAAATTTACGTATCATTTCGCTGTTTTAGAAAAATGAGCTTTTTCACAAAATGAAAATTGAAAATCGCCCTCTGGAGGACGGTTCAGTATTTTTATGTTTTCCTTTAAATGAAAGGATATAAAAAGAAACCAAAAACAAGTAGGCACCTCAAACAGTATCTCGTATTCGCAAAAAAAATTTGGACTTTTTCAGACATATTGTTATTGATAGAGCGGCGTGACCAAGGACGCCAACTTTCAGTTTTCAGGATCTAGATATTCTCTCGAAGGAAGCATTTCTGCATGTTAAGTCTATAACAATTTTAACTCAATTATCGAAATCTATCCATCTAAAAAAATTCCGAATTTTTCTTATGAGTTATACTTCAAAAGTACTGGAAAATGTGAACAATGTCATCTCGAACTTGTATGACTTTTTATTATCCTCTTATTTTATTTCATTGAATTAAATTTTTGATGATAAATGTCATGATAGTTATTTTTTTTTCAATTGATTGCTATAACTGAACAAATCCATAAGAAGATTATATTGTCATATTTGGATTTTATTAAACTCACATTCTTATAGATAAATTCATTTCATGTCTAAAGTCATCATTATCATAAAAATTTTATTGCAAATTTCCATATTGTTTCATGAATTAGTCGTTTTTTCTTCATTTATTCCTTTTTTTTGTTCTTTCAATTGTAATCTTAAATAAGGAAAAAGCTTGTATAACATTATCTTACGCACAATTCATAATATGTATCCGTTCTTTTTTTAAAGGAAAACTATCATGCATATAATTCATTTTAACAAAATAAATATATAATGAAGAAAGAAAAAATGAAAAAGAAAACAGAAAGTTCCAAAATAGACATCATGGTGCCATATGTTTTCCTTTTGCTTGAAAAAAAATTCAAAATTATATAAATATAAATATATTCATATTAATATACCTGTTTCTATGAATATAAAAATAAATATACAAGAAAGATTATGACAAAAGATAATGATTATAATATTAAACAGAATCATCATGATACCACCATCGAGTTTTTTTAGGATCATTAGATGCTGTACGAACATACCAATCATTATCAGGTGGACGGCTCTAAAAAACATAAAATATTAAGTAAATCAATAAACATTAATCTAATATAAGCAGTGTGAGTCTTCTCATTGAAAGATTTATGAAAATTTCACATCTATAGACAGATCAGAAACTATTATAGAAACATTAATAACAACCCCCGCATCTCTTACGCATCACAGACACTGACAGATATTAATGTATGATCAAAGATTATGGATGAAATATTGTCTTATTTCATTTCCGAAGCGTTAAATAAAAGAATGTTGAAGAAATATGTTCTAAAATAGATAGTATAAAATAATTTTCTTGTGATTAACAACAGTAAATACATCGTGTTTCATATTTTAATTCCGTAGGGATTGTACTAACAGCTTTTCTTCTAGAACTTGAAAAAAAAGTTGATTATATCGATTCAATTTTTTGTCTAATTCTCCTAAATGAACAACGACAATACATTAGATGTCTTTTGCTACTTTGTATAGAAATTTATTGATGCATAATAAAATAATGCTCGTCTGTAGATCCAAATCTTGCTTTAAACATCTATATTTGCTCTATAAAAAGTACAAATAACTTAAGTCCTATCGGTTGTTAAGTAAATCAAATTGATCACTAATTGTATTTATTCTTTTAAAAAAAACAGCACTTAAATTAACTATTTATGTGTTATTCGCTTATTTTAATACCTTATCTTTACAACTTGATAACATTGATAAAATACTAAGACAAACAGCATTTATACTTAATGCTGGTGACCAATCATCAGTTAATATTGATAAACAAATATGACCATTGGAATAAATATGTGGATGAAGAGGAATATTAGGACCAATAAACGTAACCTAATTAATCAAATTAAATTATATATGATAATTTAATTTGATTACTTGTGGTGAATCAAATGGATATTGATCCGAAAATTTGAATAGTAATTGAAAATTTTCACCATCATATAATGTTCCTGATGCACCTTCAATATCAATTCGAATTCTAAAATTAAGAGAAAAACAAAAAAAAAAGAAATATAAACGATATAATTAAATTATGAATAAAATAGAAATTCAATTTGTTAACTCACTTTCGCATATCGGAATTATCATCGACGACTCGACTAAAAACATAATAAAATAATCCTATCGTTACAATAAAAATAACATACATGCCAGGCGTAGGATTTTCTATTAGTAATTTGAGTTCTTTAGTGAGACGTTTTCGAACGAGATCAAACTAAATAACAAGAATAATATTTTTATTGAATAAATATAACATTCATTACTAACCGCCATTTCAATAAATTCACGTCAAAAAAAAAATATTTCAAAAATAGAAAATTCTCTTTTCAATTTTCTTGTTCAATTACTAATTTATCATCTAAAAACGACAATTAAATGATTATTATATATTTCTATTTTTTTAAAAAGATTTGATTAAATGAGATTCTTTTTTTTTTGTTTTTCTTTCACAATGGACAATGACTAAAAATATAATTCTACTTGTTGTTAAGATCATTCAAGAGTAATTCTCTCTTTTGCTAATACACACAAAAAAACAAACAAACAAACAAGAAGACTTATGAATATTTTCTATCACAGTACAAACAATAGATATATATTAAAAATTTGTTCATTGATCATTAATACATATATTTTTCTTTACGGTTTTATTGACATCGATTGAAAATGTGGTGTCATATTATCAATTTCAGATGATACCATTGCTGTATGAACTACAGTAAAAAAAACAATATATATATTTATTATTTAAACTAAAAAAAAATGAATTTACATTGCGCAAGTTGTGAACCAAGATCTGCTAATGCATTTCGTCGACCATTTTGTTGAACTGCTCGAATCATATGTCCATCATCTTGTTCCGAAAGCGAACTTAACGTATCGCTATAATTATTTCCTGTGCTACTCATTTATAGACTAATTACTAGAATGAAAAAAAAAAGAGAAAAACAAAATTAATCAGCTGATAGAACTACATAAAATATTTATATTGCAAGAGGAAGTAAATAATATGATGAATCGACTCCTTTTGACACATGAAAGCGATGATGATTGGTTTACTGTTTATCCTTGGTAGATGTCTCCGATAATCGACACAAATTTATTGTGCGTTAAACTGTATGTAAATTTGTTAATTAAGATAGAAATTGACTTTGACTAAAAAATTATTTTAGACAAATACATTATTATAAAATTTATGACAAAAATGATGAAAGTAAAAAAAAAGATAGTTGCGATATTTCATACATATAAATTTTACATAAAGGTAATAAATATAAATTAAAGTCATCTAATGCTGAGCCATGACTTCGGACTCCAACGTTGAGTGAACTAGTGATCTTAATTTTTAAGAAACTTACTAGAAAAATTATATATCTTTCTGCTATATTAACATCAGTCGAACGGGTTGTTATCTCAAAGCAATGTTTTAATGAGAGTTTGTCTCATTCAAATTTTTCATAATCTAATATTTCCATTTTAATATCTTTGAAATGCAATAAAACACTAATTTAATTAAATGTTAATAAATATCTTTAGTTCGAAAGCAATTTTAAATTTAGGTTTTTGTTTACTGTCTTATGAAAATGTATGAAAGAGAAGAGTAGATTTTTGTTTTACTCTTACGTTTGCTGATATTTTATGTAGAGAACTGTTCTTATTTTTTCTTTCTCTATTAAAACTAAAAATATAATATCGTGTTATAAAGAACTTAATATTAAAATTTTCTAGGCGAATGGTTCCAGCGTCTGGACCAATGAATTTCTGACAGATGCCCACCGGAAAATTCAGAAAATAGCCTTTACTTTTCTGTCACACTCACTGCAACATATTGCGATAAATATCTTACATTATCGACATGAATTAATAGCAGCTAGGAATTCATAAACTAAAACGTATATTGATTAATCGCTTCTTTTACTATATCGGCAGCTTCATAGTGTTTCATATTTTAATCCCATAGGAGTTGTGCTAACAAATGATTTTTTTTATTAAATAGACTAGTATCACTAATCTTGGTGATTTCATTTTAAAAAGCTAGATTTGACAATGAACAAGAACTCATGAATATATTCCAAAATAATATCACTAGTTGGATGTTGTAAATATTTAATCAAACAACTTTTTATGTAATTTTCGTGTGGTTATTTCAGATTTGCTCTAAGATATTACATAGATAAATATGCCAAGTCTTTCTAGTGTTTTTCATTACATAAATCTAAAAAGTATCTAATATACTTCTTGTGTGAAATCATTTTAACATGTACAGAATTTCGTTCATGACCAGTTCTAGACCTTTATATATAGTTTTATTAAGAATCTCTAGAGAAATTTTTCTATTAAATTATTCATAGGAAATCGTTATGACCTTAAGGGAAATATTTTTGTGATTAATTATATTCAAATTGAATTGTTTAGAGTCGTTGAAATTTTATACTATAATTAAAGTGCTGCTATACCACTTTTTATTAGGTCTAGATCCAAGAAAAACCAAATTTTCGATCCGAAATCGGAGAGACACAGATATGAGTTTTTTTCATTAATTTCTGCCACCTTCTGTAGACATGGCTATGTACGATGATTATATTTATTAGTTAATTTCTGAAAAAAAATTCGTTCAAGTGCATAATCAAATAAAATGAAATTGAACAAAGAAAAGAGAATCATAGTTTAACCATAACTCTTCTATGTGTAGAATCGAAGCCAAACACAAACCAGAGTTTAGAAAGAACTGTAGCTTACTAACTCTCATAGTTCGAGTATGGTGTTATTAAATTGTTTTTTGTATCTATTAACTTTTGAAAAAATAAAAAATTGCAACCTCTATTCTATAGAATTATACTCATAAATCTTTTTTTTTATCCATTTGGATTATTTCTTTTGCATGCTTCGACAGAGAGAGATGTTATCTTTTTAGTCGAATGGCTAGATATGATGCTCATGTAAATAGCAGAAGATGCACGGTTCGCATCCTGCCAAACGATATCTAATTTTCTCTTTTCTGTTATCATGTGATGATATCATTACTTGTCTGAAGTGTATGGCATTGATGAAAAGCGATCCGTAGTCAAAACTATATGATTGAATGCCCAATGATTTCTTTCTCCACTTCTCTGAAATGTGTTCACAGTCCTTTCACACGTAAAATCATGATTGATATCATATGAAAATGAGGGCTATCAAACATATAGACACAACCGGTTTTTTTGTTTGTTTAAATATTATATAAAACTAGACGAAATGAATGAAGTTTTTGTTTATTGTCATTCATTCAATGAAGCTGAAAATCGGTCATAAATAATTTATTTCTGCTAAACAAATCATGAGATAGTATGATTGTCTCTCTTGGGAGAAGAACTACACTCTCAATAACTCTATTTTTATTAAATCAAATATTTGAAATAAAGTGTTTCTTTATCTCTCTCTTTCTTAATTGAAATGAAGGTATTCGAGATTTTTTGAAACATGTTCATCTAACGGAGATGCCATATATTTTACTACGAAATGAAAATCAGTTTCAGAATCTACACTAGTCGAACATCTTGTAAGCAAGATCTTAGGTACACACTAAGATAAAACGTGTTGCATGTGTCATGATTTGCGACACAATGCATGACACATTCTGAAAGCATGGTTCGAACCTATCATACAGAGCATTTATTATTTCTTTTATGTAAAAACATGTTATGACATTTTTTTCAATTTATTGTTTTACTCAAGATCTTGTGAGAAGATAAGAGTAAACGATATCTTTTCCATGATCTTGATTAGATCTTAGATACAGATTTATCTGATACAACCAAGATATGCACATACAAAACCGAAAAACAATAACCGTTCGAAACAGTGTATAGTATATATATGAAAAAAAAGGTTCAGCTCAGTCAGAAAAACGTAATTTGCTATTTTTCGCTATATAAGAAATAGGTAAAACGTTAAAAGAGATTCAAAAAGAAACTCCGCCTGTAAAAGTAGTATCGAGGAACTCCTAAATCGTTTTTGATTATTGAAATTTTTTTGTAGATGTCGCTCGTATACAGTACTGTATATTTTTTTACTTTTTTTTTATTTAAAATTTTTAAAGAAGAATTAACTAAGATTTAATTATTATTAAAATTATTTATAATAACTTCTCATTATTTTCTTAATGATTTTTATTGGATGAATAAAATATCTGTCAACAAAAATGGCTACTATAATATATAATTGTCGTATTTTTTCGATAGAGTTGAACTCTCAATAGTTGATTTGTTCAATTAAATATATATTTTATTTTAGATTATTAATCATTAACAACAAAATTTTAATCGAATGAAACCACGTTATAATCTTCGTATTCAACCAACTAAAGTTCTTATTTCTACAACTAATAAAACTCTATCATCTTCTCAAATGTTTGTTTATACATTAATCTATAAAATTTATGAAATAAATAATTTTATTTTTTTACTTTAGTATAAAAAACCGTAAATTAAATCAATCAACTACATTAAAAACTAAACAAAATCGACGTCATAGTCTTCGTTTAACATCAAATACAAAATCTCGACAAATTTCAAATAATAATGAAACTCGTATGAATAACAAAAAAAATGAATCATATAGATAAACATATATTTTTTTTTTAGCATTAAAATTATATACAATTGAAAATAATAATATAGAAGAAAATTCATTAAATGATAATTATGATGAACTTCTAGCACGTCATCATCGACATATGCTTGAAGAACAAAAAGATCGAAAGTAATACAAAAATAATCAAAATTCTATTTTAGTTTTTTTTTCTACAATATAGACTCTATGAACGATATGTTCGTGGTCAACGAACACTTCGTCGTTTACAATGTCGTCGTACTCATACAGCACATTTAAATGAAGCAACACGTACTCGTTTATTACGTGAATTAGAACGTGAACGTCGTTATACTGTTCAAGATCAAATTTGTACTTATCGTAAGTTAAATTTTAATATATTTATATCTATATTTTGTTTTATTGTAGTTGCTGATCATCCAATTATATTTCGTAATGGATCTCATTTAAATTCAAATGAATCAATTAATTGGACAACACTTGAAAATGAAATACCACGAAAAAAGCATTTTGATACAATACATCAATTAGATATGATGATTAATAATTTAAAAAAAGTTATTCGAACTTCAAAATCTTCTATGTAAATTCCCTTTTGTTTTTTAAATTATTTATGTTAAAAAAAAAAGAAATCATCTATTATTTATTAGATCAAAACCACGTTTATCTGTTCATGAAAGACAAAAACAACGTTTAGCAGCTACAACAATAATTCCGGTTATTAATATTAATTCTAATCAGATACAATCAAATGAAATTAATTCAACAATTTCATCGTAAGTGAAATAAAATTAAGAAAAAAACGAAAATTTTTTAAATTTAATATTATTTAATAGAATGAATACAATATCACAATCAATTACAACATCTCGTTTACCATGTGTAAGATTTATTGATGATTCATTACGAACAACTAATTCACAACATTTAACATGTATTCAAAATGTTTTATTACAAACAAATAATAATCATCTAAGTCGAAAGTAATAAAATTAATTTCTTTTTTTTTTTCAAATTTCAATATAATTATCTTTAATTTCTAGTATAACCAATGAAATATCAACACCTATGATCATTAGAAAACAATTTCTTCGTCAAAAATCAACACATATGAAGTATGTATTAAAACGAGAATTAAAAAACAATAAACAAACAAATTTTCATTTTTGTTTTCTTAGTATATCTGATTCATCACAAATAAAAAAACGACCATTAGAAAAAGAAAATTGTAGTCTTATGACATCTACAATCAATAATCATTTACATACAAATATTGGTTTAAGAGCGACATCACCGTATGTGTACATACATATTAATATGATTTTTGAATTATATATATTTTATTTATATAGAGTGGTATCTATTAAATCTTCAATATCATATCGTTCATATCCAAATACACGAAAACATCCAATAATAACGAATTCATCAACAACAAATCGTCGACAAACAAGACTTTCGTATGTTATTTAGAAAATTGAATATATTCAAAGAGAAATTATCGATTTCATTTTCAAAACTAAAATATAAACGTAGATTGAGATAAATCAATTTTTGATATAGAAATATTGTAATATGACGAAAATTATTTACTTTGGGCAAATCAAAAGTTCGTCGAACGGTTTTAACAAGAACCTTATCGGATAAGGTAATCTATTCAGAAATGAAAAACCATGTTGTAGAACTTTTTGAGGCACTTTCAACTAATCCCATATTCAGTAACCTATCATACTTAGGTATGGGTGTGTAGTCGTCTATCAGTAAATTGATTCTAGTTCCTTCAAAGTCTTATGAAAACAGGATTTATTATATACCATTCGACGTGCCTCAAAAAGTTCTACAACATGGTTTTTCATTTCTGAATAGATTACCTTATCCGACAAGGTTCTTTAACGAACTTTTGGTTTGCCTTAAGTATATTTTTCTCAGCAAATTGAACTCATTGGATTCAAAATTTTTAGAATTGAAACCAATTGATTAAACTCTATTGCTAACACACTCTAAACATTTCGTAGATAATTTTGTCAATAATTCGTTATTAATTTTAGAGTAGGATCATTTCGAAATTAATCCGAGCGACTTTCTCATAGCTTCGCTTAATTGATTAAATAAGTTAACATCAATTCATATCGCAAAAAAAAGAAATATCTATTTAAATCAGCAAATAATAAACAGACGAGATATATTTTCATATTCTAACCTGCTTTATTGAATCGAGTATAGGGTAATATAGCTCTATTATTTTAATTGAGTTTAAAAACAATAAAGTTTTCATATTTCAAAAGTATGCCTTTAAGGTGTCGATGCTTTTGTTGAATCATTAATAAGAGGAGAAGTAGACAGTATGTAAATATTATTATCAGAGCCTACAGGATATAGAATTCATAAAAACTCTTCAATAAAATGTTTAAATGAGTTTATTGTTTTTAATTTTAGTACGAATGTCTAAAGCATGCGATTGTGGCTTCTGATTGGTTTTTTTTTCAAATGTAAATAGACAATAGTCATATGTCTTTTACTTGTCCGTTTTGTTTTCTTTTTATCGTATAACGAACCTTATTAGTTTTGTTCTTCTCTGTTGTTTGCTCATGGTTTGTTCTTTTTCTTCTTCTTCTTTTCAATTAACATATACACACAATGTTTTCTTTGTGTTGTTCTTTTTTTTTTTTTTTTTCGTCGAATTTCACTATTGTCGATGTTCATTCTGTTTGTTCGAACAAAACAAAAAAAGAAAGAAGAATTTGTTTTTTTTTGTTTTTTTCGAAACAAAAAAAAAAAAAAATAACAAAGAATTAAAGATGAATAAGGATGTTATATTTTATTTTCTATTTTTTATTACTTGTCGTGGAATTAATGAATTAATCTGAAATGATAATAAGTATAACAAAAAAAAAAATACCAGAAAATGAAAAATTATTCGATTTTATATTTATCATATTTTCTTACTTTGATAGCTGAGATAACTTGTGGACGTGGTGGAATAGGACGACCACGTTTATTACCAAATTGAAATGAAAAAGAATTTTTTTCAGGTGATTTGATTTTTGTTGGTTGAGCCATTATTCGAAGAATATCATCAAGATTATTTGTAGAAGAAGGAATTTCTTGTTCAATAGATCGTTTTCGTTTTAATGTTGGAGATGATTTAACAAGAAGCCATTCATTTTGTGCATCAATTTCTAAACGAAAACTAAAAATTACAAAAAAAAAATAGATTAATATAAATGATAATAATTAAATTTTTACTCAATTTCATCATTATCACGAAGTATTAAATTTATTTGAGCATTTGGTGGTAAAACACAATTATTAATAAATGCTTTAAGATATTTTAATTTTGTTGAACGTTTTGATAAATGAAATTGATAATAATTAGAAAGAGATTTTTGTTGTTCATTAAAATATTCAATTAAATCATTTATAGTTTTTATATTTGTTGTACAATCAATAATTGTCCAAAATTGATTATGTTCATTTGGTAACCATGATGCATGAAAACGTAATCGAAGCATGTTTATAGATTTTTTTGTTTAATTCAGTTTTTTTTGATTCATTATTCTTCGTATATAATCAAATGAATTTATATTAGTTAACCAGTCATTATTCAATATCTAATAGATGTCACACTTGTTCATATGAAATTGAAATATAAAATTTATTTAAATTCAATAAGTCTGTATGATCATTTCTTCTAAAATCAATTTTTATTATTTGATCACTATATTTTGATAATTATTAGAGAACATTATAAACTATATAATGATATTCAGATATTTAACATAGATGAGGATGTAAACATAGTTTAATATTATGATGAATAGAATATTATATCTTACAGTAATTGCAAAAAAGTAGATAAACTTTAATTCTTTAGTTTTATAGTGTGAATATAAATAGAATATGTTGAACTGTGATTGCAAGAAGTAATTAAAATTTGATCAATCTTCATCTGAAGGAGCTAGATATCTATTCTTGTGTAATTATTATATGTAGATGATGTTGTCGCTAAGTTATGTTCATGCTATTTTTGTACTAATATGATTAAACGAAATCGAAAAGAATAATCATAATACCACTAGAGCTCATTAGTTGGATTCAAGCTATGAAGGCTTGGGTTTTCTGAGTATGGAAGAAATCTATAAAACCTATCCAAGTAGGTCTGCCTTCAGTGATGGGTTCGGTTTTTTTCTATCGTAAATACCTTCAAATTAGAATTGCCAATAATTCTTGTTTTAGTACGATAACTCCTTTTGGTAATATCTGAGTGACATGAATAACATATCTACACCTTCCTAAATTCAGTAGGAAATGAATGTATCCATAGATAAAGCGATTAATTTATGTCTATGAGCAACTCATATGATAACTACTGCTAAGGTTTTTAAAAGGTATTGTATCATGATGTGTAGTATCGAAATGAGTGAAGTTTGTTAAAACTAATAGCCCTGGTGTCAATATCGATGTGCACTTAGATAATATTAATGAGTCTGATTTTTCTATTTTGAATTCTTTCTATTTAAATAATTTGATTTTGAGTAAGAAAACACTCTGCAATCATTTATGACTAAAATTGAAAGTTATAAGCACAACTGCTGATTATCTGAAATATCTTCACAGACTTTTTCTGATAATTTCATAAGCAATATTCTTATTTGTAATTAGCAGACAAATTGTTCTATATTCTGTTTCAACTTATAGACTGATAAGAGTAGACTAAGATCGACCTAACAATTTATAAATAATAAGATGAAAAACTAATGTAACAATGACAAATATCGATGGAATAAATATTTTCATAATAATGCAGCCAACAAAATTATTAAATGGCGATAGTAATTAAAAAATCTTTAAATATTCAATCTACAATATTTTCATAAAATAATACATACTAGGAAATAAATTATTAGCCAATTATGTCGTAATTGTTTTTTTCCCATTAGTAAGATAATAAACATCATGACTAATATGAGGTTTTTGTCCTTTTGCATCCCACAAGGTGGTGAAATTTTATGTTATTACACAATTTATCTTCAATATATATATATATAGGGTATTTTTCTTCGGTTTTTTTATTCGTCTTCTCTTCAAACACAATGACTTGTTTAGCTCACAATCTACGCTATCGCTCTTTATTTCATGCTGTTATCAATGAACTTCGAAATGAAAAGTGTATATCTGCACCTATATTACGAAGTATGCCTCGTCAATGTTGTACCTGTAATAACCTTGATGATGAAACATTAATAAATGTTGTTATTGATGACAAAGATAAATTTATAAATTTAAAGAAACTTATTAATCAAATAGATCGAGATAAAAATATCAATTCCAAACTTTCTTTATCACTAAATCGATTAGAAAATATTATTAAAACAAATCGTATTTTAGATTCAAATTTATTATCAACATCAACAGTTGATAATCATATTAATAAATGTCATGATGATTCGACCGAATCGGATGATGATGTTAGAATGGATATTGATCGAAGACGTAAAATATCTAGAAAAAGAACTAAATCACCAAAACCACTTAAAAATGGAGAATTTCTATTTTTACCATATAAATTCGATAATAATCCGCAGTTTACACTAGCACCCGAAACTGCAAAAGAAAAACAACGAGGTCGATTTATTGGTAGAAATGGTTATATTGAATCATTAGAAAAAGAACATCATGTTTATATTAATATGATAACATTCAAAACGACGGAACAAATTAAAAAAACACTTAAAAATGCGAAAGCAGGAGTAGGAAATGTAAAAATTCATAATCAAAAAGATCTATCCGAAGAACAAGATGGTGAATGGATATTAATTCGACAAAAAAAAATTGAAAAATCAGCAGATACAAATGATTTTCAAACAATACTAGATGAACTAACGAATCGATGGGATAGTTTTCTTAAAATAAAAAAACGTAAACGTGAAGATGAGAATGACGAAAATCCAAAGAAAAAAAATTAACTTGTAGTTTTATTATTAATATTTTTTTTTTTGTAACTTTATTAAATAATGTCGATATGAAGATTTCGATTACAAAGATTTTTATTGACTTGTACGATTATTTGTTTATAATTGAATGAAAAAATGACGATCATGAAAGAATTTCTATTTTCCTTAAATAAGACTCGTCAGTAATATTGACTTGTGTAAAAAACAATCAGATTTTAATGCTGATTCTCACTCTCTAGCATGTTACAGATGTTTACATATGTCAATATCGAATTTAATCAGCTAAAACTATTGATAATAAAAGTAAATAATTTGAATGTACAAAATAAATAAAATAATTTATTTTCGATTTTTAATTAGTTAATTTTACTTGAGAAGAAAGTAAAAATTTATATCTATATGTGTATTCATCAATGATGAAAGAAAAATCATGAACTTTAAATGCTGATTAGTAAATCAATTTAGTTTTGCAAAACTCTAATGTTGGCGTATAGCAATGTAATGAGAAACTTGTTTTTATTACTGTGTCAATTGTTTAGAAAGAAAATTTTCAATAGCATTTTTTTATGATTAATAACCATCTGTCTTATTTGACATAAACTATAATTATGCCTTTCTTTATATTTATTGATTTCCTCTTCTTTTATCGTCTCTTTTTGACTTTTCTCTATTGATACAACAACTGTCACTTGCTGAACAAGGACGTCATTTCTTTATTATAGATTGAATAATAGAGTTGTCTTTTGTTATGTAAAATGTCAAGAAGAAATTTTTTTTGCTTCTTTGTCATTATTTGTAACTCATTGAAATAAAATCCTTGTCTCTATTTCATAGTGTAGTTATAGAACGTTTTTCTTTTTTGTAATTGTAAATTCATTTTCAATCAATTTCAAATATGTTTCATTTTATTATTTATACAAAATGAAAAAAAAAAGAAGAAGAAAGTCTCATATTAAAAAACAATCAGCTGAGTTCTATTATTTTGTTTGATATTCAGAAAGTTCAAATATCTCATTCTTATTCAAAACTAGATTTATTATATTACAACAAGTAACCTTTTGGTATTATTCTACATAAAATTTATCTAAAACAATAAAAATCAGTTTTTTATGATCAACCCGGGTCTAATAAAATTCATAGATAGTGATCTTGGTTAATTCATTGTAGATGCATGTTGTAGTTATTCATAGTTTGTGACCCATTAGTGTTTTTGTTCTATTACTATTGCTCGATTGCAAAATTAAGATTCAATGTCCATAAAAAATTTCCGTCGCCGCTCCGTCAAGTCGTAAGTGCTGTTAATTCGTCTATGCTAGATATATCGACTGTTTTGCTTTACTGTTCGAAGATGATTATTAATGCAGTGTGAAGCACATTATTTATATAGTTCTTGGCGAGTTTTCTTTTTTCTTTCTTGACGTACATACATTGAAAGTTTCTATCTTCTGTAATGATAAGCTTGAGAAGAGAAAAATCAGAGAAAACTCATTCAAATGCTAGTATAGTATTTGATGATCGAATCAACATTATCTGTTTTTTTTTGTGTTATCTTCAATCGTATGTTCGATTTTTTTTTCTACAGAACACAGCCGAAAAGAGTAAATTTGTTTTTAGATTTTCTTTTTTTGTAAGCTTTGAGATAGTTAAAAATAAAGACAATTATGAAGATAAACTGATAGTAAATAATAAATTAGAAACAGAATGCTATCAAATTTCAGTAGAGATCAACATTTTTTAAAACAGTTAATACGAAGTCAATCAAAGAGAAAAGATACAGATCGCTAGAACCGATAATTTTACATGAAGAAAAAAATGACATAGGCATGTCTAGATTAGAAAGATGACGCTAGTTAATGATTCTAACAAAATAAAGAACATAAAAAATCAGCAAGACAAATTCTAATATAATGATGTTGTAAGCTATATCGAATATGTTTGTGAAAAAATCTTCTTAATTGACACAGTTAGAAAATGATATGAACAAGTGCATGAGTGGATTTGATATAGAGAACATCAGATGAATAGAATTATTCACATGAATAGAGAAATCAAGTTAGTAATTGATCTAGCGGAAGGCAAGAGGAAATAGAAACAGTTGGATGAAGGTAAAATAAGGATGAGAGTATTTATTGGTTCCTTATTCGTATATATAGTAAGCCAGTCGCATACATTTTTTTTTGCTTACGTATCTGGTTGACAATAGATTGTTGCCTAGATTCAAACGTTTTTTCCTGTTCTTTTTGTGTCAATCAACGTGTTCTTTTCACATCAATACAACTGTTTATAATAAGAAAGAAAATTAAACGAAAGTAAGACATTAAGAAAATTCAATTATGTCCGACGAACAACGTAATGCTATGGGTCCTGTTATGGTTTGTTGATCAGCAGGATATATTTGTTTTTTTGTATGGGAAAAAAAATATCTTCTTTTCTTATAGGATGCTACATCTGAAATTCAAAAACTAAGGTTTATTAAACTTTTCATATAATCTATTAATATTCTTTTATTTAAATAGTGAACAACCAGAAGTTATATTCTCAGCTATTGATGCTCTCTATAGAAAACATAAAGAGCATAAAATACATCGTTTTACAGAAGAAAATCGAGAAAAACATATAGCTAATTGGAAGTAAGTTTTATTTTTAACAAATCTATAAATATATCATAAAAATTTTCAGAGTAACAAAATATGCTGAAGAAAAAGTTGCTTATGGTACTAATTATTTCTTAAAAGTATGTATTGGTGATGGTTTGTATCTTCATATGCGTGTTCATCGTCATCCAAATCAAGATAAATATGATTTTTATGCATTACATGAAACTATTAAACATAATATTGCAACATGTGTATTCACAGAAGGTAAAAACAAAAAAAATAACAACACATTTATCGATAATCAATTAATTAAATCTAATTTTTTATTAATTAGATGATCCATTAATTTATTTCAATTATTAACATCGAAAAACAAAAAGAACATATGATGATCGTTTTTCTTTTTTTTGGTTTGAATTCAATACATATATCTTCTTTTCTTTTAAAGACATGATTGTTTTGATAAACTTTATTGTTCTTATCTTATATTGTTGACGTGTCAATTATTTTGTTTGGAATTTATATTAGGTTTCTGTATTTCATGATAAAAACTTCATTTATATACTCTTCTAATTCTAAATCGGATATAATGGATGCTGACAAAATCTTTTGAGTAAATATCAAACTCAATTGCATGGAAACAGACGATGATAGAAAATTCATTCTTTGTTTTTTTTTGCTTTCTTAGATAGAGTTTAGTTTCGACATTAAAAAGACAGATATGTACTTTTAAATTAACATAATGTCTAGATTGTGTATTAACTTAAGTTTTTCAATTTATTTCTGAACGTTCAGTATAAAAGAACCACACACATTTTATCAACAGCAAACACATAGTAGAGCATATTGATTTAGTTGACTTTCTATGTGTATAGAAAACAATCGAATAAAGATATATTGATTTAAAAATTTCAGATTAAAAGAATGTTTTCGTTGAGAGATATTAAATTTTCCTGGCTTGTGCTTTGTAGATGTGATGCATTAACTTATTTCAACTATTAACATGGAGCAAAAAAAAAAAGAAAGACAAAGAGATTGGTTTTTTGTTTTTGTTTTGAATTAAACTAAATTTTTTTTATTTTAAAGACATATTTGCTTAGATAAAATTTATTTTTCTTATCTTCTATTGTTTGCATGTCGATATATTTTGCTCTAAATTTACATAAATTTTTTTGTACTTGATAATCATAGTCCATTTACATACTCTATTAATTCTGAATAGGAAATAATTATGAAGAAAATCTTTTGTTACCATTGAAATATGAACATAGTGTAATTTCATGGCTATTTGATTTTTAAGAGGTCTTAGAAGAATGAATAATTGTTATAATAGTAATTTAATGTTGTGTCGCCTTTAAATATTAGAATAGTTAATACATTGTTTTTCTTCATATGAATCTTGTTGATAAATAATAATTTCAAAAATATACTTACAATGGAGGTACGTGTGTTGATAAGTGAAAAGATAGCACATATTCGGGTCAAATGAAAGCTCTCATCGCCAAACTAACAAGGTTAAAATATTAGCGGCTGTTGGCTTGCTTAGAGGAAGATATTTAGATTTTAAATTTAGGTATAAAAATGAATCAGGAAAGGTTTTCTCCACTATTATAAGGACAAAACATAGTGTTGTTTGGGGGCGATTATGGGGTTTGTAGGGTCTCTCTTTCATACGGCCTGCACAACACTATGTTCTGTCCTTACAATAGTGGAGTGAATTTTTCCTGTAGATCATGGAAACGGCTTTCTTCTATCAACCACTAGGAAAATTCAATCCGCTATTATAAGGACAAAATATAGTGTTGTTCGGGGCGATTATGGGGTTTGTAGGGTCTCTCTTTTATAAGGCTCGAGCAACACTGTTTTGTCCTTATAATAGCGGATTGAATTTTCCTAGTAGTTGATAGAAAAAAGCCGTTTCCATGATCTACAGGAAAAATTCACTCCACTATTGTAAGGACAGAACATAGTGTTGTTCAGGCCATATGAAAGAGAGACCCTACAAACCCCATAATCGCCCCAAACAACACTATGTTTTGTCCTTATAATAGTGGAGAAAACCTTTCCTGATTCATTTTTATACCTAAATTTAAAATCTAAATATCTTCCTCTAAGCAAGCCAACAGCCGCTAATATTTTAACCTTGTTAGTTTGACGATGAGAGCTTTCATTTGACCCGAATATGTGCCATCTTTTCACTTATCAACACACATACCTCCATTGTTAGAAGAATCTCTTGAATAAATCATCAGCTGAAACTTGACTTCTATTTGAATTAAGATAGTTTTACTTCTATAAAAGACATATCATGCTGCTCTTTTTCTCTATCTTGAAGTTAGTCAAAAATTCTTATCTATTCAGAGAACTCTTGTTAGACACATTGATATTTGTATATTACATTATTTTAAAAATTATCTATTACCAGACATCAGCAAGTGAAGTCTGATCAAAAACTTAATTTTAATTAATTTTTTTCCAAATGTTCTATTTTTTAGTGAAAAAGTTAAATTAATGGCGTTTTCATTCTTTATAAAAGAAAAATGAGTTTCTGACAAAATGTCATGATAATGCAAGAAAGAAACTAAAAAACAAGTTGAAAAAAAAATGTTTTAGTCTTCTTTCATCTTCAATTCAGTTTACACGAATCTTTACTATTTTTTCCTAAAATTCAAATTAGAGATAAACGAGACTATATAATATCTTTAACTTGATGACTTTTCAAATGAAGTTTTTTGCATATCATAAATCAGTTTATAATTTCCCTACTAATATCTTGTGATACAAACACCGACAAGCGTACTGATCTTCTAAAAAAAAAAATCGCTTCACAGATAATTTAATCAAATCGATTCAGTAGAAGTGACTTTTTTTTTTCATTTTTTTTATCTTAATCATTTCAACGGTGAAACTTAATCAAATTTGTTTAATTCACCAACAGGGTATGGATGTGAGTGTGGATCATTCCTCTCTCCATCCTTATCCACGCTTACACATTCACACTCTACTACTAAGGAACGTGACAATTAGTTAAGAAAACAAGGCTTTTTATAAGGATCAATGAGGTTAATTTAAACTTGGTTCAAAATTCCGACCTCACATGAATCTAACAAAAAAAGTAATATTATTCATTTTGTTAACTAATATTTACTGTGTCAATTGTTCTTGAAATATCACGACTAATCAATGATTTATTTCCAGTAATTAAAAAATCGGTAAAAGTAAAGTACGGACTTAGTAAATAGTAAAACTCTAAAACGTTATAATTAAATGGTATCGATAACTACTTCCGATGCTGTAAAGAAATTTCATTACAGTCTACTGGGAATTTATTCAAAAAAAAAATTAACCTTTAAATTATATTCTTACTGTTTGTTGAGTTAGTCATAAGTATATATCTCTTTTAGAGGTAATTTTTTAATTTTATGAATATGGTTTGATTTTTATTTTCTAAGGAGAATCAAATCAAATGCATTCTCAACAAATGGAATCTTGTTAGGATGAAAAATCAAAGAAAAATATTTTTAACATCATTCGAACTTGTACACTAAAAACAAAGATTTTTCGAGAAAACAAGTTGTTACAATGTAGAAATAAATATATATAAGCTATATTTAATTTTTTCTACTTGAGGAAGTATATCGGATGTGGCAAAATTTTTTGCGATATTTCTTGTTTTGCATGTAACTATCTTCAGGAACATGATAAAATGTTTATCATTCCATCAATACTTTCTATGAGATCAGCACTGATTTCTTCACAACTGATTGCCATCATTTCAATGGTGGGCAAATTCTGATTGTATTATTGCATTTCATTGTTTTTCTAAGCTTAATTCTTGTTCTGCTATTACTTTGAATATTCGAGGAACTTTAATTTAGCGATTTGTGCACGTTACTCGCTGGTTTTAGACGGGTGTGGATATGGGTTCCTATTTGATCACAATCACATCCCTAACATTCATTTGTTGAAGAATTTCAAACATGTCATCAATCGGTTAGATGGCATTCTCGTGTACAGAGATCGATGTTAGGCTTCATTAGATGAAATATGCGTTAGAAATGACTCGCGAGACTGAGACTCACAAAGCAAGTCTCGCAGGACCATCCGTTGAAGTCGCCTTGATGCTACATCAATTAATCAATCCGTTCTATAGATCGATGTTTTGACAATTTTCACATTTCTGTCAACGGATCACAAACAATGCTGAACCATTTTGTATCTGAACGATCAAGAGACGAATAAAATCCATATTGTTGAGAAACTATAGAAGAATCAATGTTACAACAGTCGTTTAAGTGTCGTCGATGAATCCAACTATAAAACTCGATCAACATCGATGTGAATTCTAACAAAAAATCGTTGATCGCTTGACGAGCTATTGTTAATGAGATCAATGGGTCGTCGAACAACCTAATGATATTCAATGACAGAAAGCTATGATTGACATCCAATTTTCCAATCAATGATGTCTGTCGTCAAACCGAGACACAGGGTGTGCTTGTTGGCCTGGAAAAACATCGCAGCCAATTTCACATCCACACTCTAATACCTCAAGATTTTAGAAATCTTGATTAGAGATAAGCAAGATATAAGTATGTGTAACAAAGATCAGTGTAAAGGATCACGAAAGATAAAAAATAAGACAGAAAATCTTGAACAACTGCTACTAAGATCTTGTTGACAGGATGTTTCACTAGGACAGGATCTGTGCTAGCAGGTCTTTAATAGACTTTGCTGAATTTCTCTTTTGTGTCATTTTATAAGTGTGAAAGTTTGAAACCGATACATAAATTGGTGACAGATAAATGGAATTTATGTCACAAAATATAATGGAAAGTCTGTTCTAGTTTCGAATTTAAAATTTTATATATCTTTCGAACAAAAAGCAGTACAACAATACTATACAATAAATGCGTGCTCTAAAGATAGAACAAAAACAAAGTGAATTATTTTTATGTAAAGAATTTCTGTAACATCAACCACTTGCTGAACTTGTAACAATGAAAAAGAAGATTGCACTTTAGCATCTTCACACTATCACATGATATTCAAGTGAATATAATTGTTTTGGTCTAATACTAATTGAGCAAAAAAGAAAAAGGTTTAACAGATGTTTTTTTTTCTTTCATTCTGTACCACTCTTGCTGCTTGATAATATAATATATTTGATAAAATGGCAAAAGCAATACAGAAATGCTATTTTTTCTTGCCTGTTATTTGCTATTCTTTTGCTCTGCAGCTGGTCAGCCTAAAGGTAAAAAAAGTATTCTTATCTTGTTATCGATTCGATAAATATTAATTTGTTCATGATAGATGCTCGTCGAGCTTGGTTCGGTGCTAATTCATTCTTTGCATGGGCTCTTCCTCAAGCTGATCAAATTACATTAATTAACACATTACGTGAGAAAAATGTTCGTGTCATACGAATCTTTTTAGCAACAATCGATGATGGTCAAGCAGGTTCACGTGCTATAGCAGCTAAGACAGTGACATGTTAGCGCGTGTTGATCAGTTTATAAAAAATGTTGCTATTTATGCTGCTGGACATATTAAACTAATAATAGCTCTTCATGATCGCTATTCATTAGGATGTTATGCATATAAAGCTGATAGTTATGTATCAAAATATGGAATTCCAACAGTCAGTGGATGTTCACCACCGAATGATGCATCGAAATTTTATTCAAATGAACAAGCTAAAACAGATTTTACTAATCGATTAAGATATTTACTTGACCATGTCAATCCACATTTTGGACAACGATGGGGATCTTTAAGTCGTGTTATATTCTCGTTTCAAATCGAAAATGAAAGTCAAGGTCATATGTCAACATTTAATGTACGTTGGATGTGTGATATAAATATACGAATTCGGTCATTAGTAAACAATGGAGTACTTCTATCAACTAGTGGCGATGTTGATTATGGTTTAAGTCTTCGTCTTGAAAATTTTCAATGTTCTGCAATTGATTTAATATCTTTACATGACTACACAATGGATGGAGATTATTCTCGTCGAAAATTTCAAGAAGCTATTCGATTAGCACAGCAATATGCAAAAAGAGTTTATGTGGAAGAATTCGGTGGTCGTGGTGATACACAAATGGCTCAAGCACTGAATATTATTCGAGCTACGGCACATCAACAAGGATTACCATGGTTAGTATGGCAAATTGTGTCAAATGCAAGATCAGAAGATTATGAATTTTTTACCAATGATCGAACAGCTTGGACAGCATTTGAGCATCAAGCATATTGGGCACAAATGTCACCATCATCTTTTCAATGGTCAGAAATTTGGAATTAAAAAAGACTCAGTTGACTAAGATTTTCTTTGGTGATAGCTGTTATCAGTAAACAAATTATTATTTGTGAAACATGACCTAATGAACAGTTTTCCTATCTATGCTTTGTTAACATCTCATCGAGTTTTTGTTGCTAAATCTTAGGTTTTTCCTTCATATGTGAACAGTTTTCTGCACGATCATTTTAAGGTTAAATTTGGAATACGGGTAAGAATGTCTGGCGTATGTCAGCTGGAAGTCTTGACATATATTTTAACGCTCAGTAAAAATATCATTTCAATAAAATTTTCACGATAATGTAGGTTTCCAATAACAGGCTTTAGAATAATGATATTTTCGAATCTTAATAAACGATATAGGTTGCTCTGAATTATCAAGAGCTGATCAAATCCAAAATGAGGCGTGAGATGTTTTTTTAATTGAAATATAATGTCAGTTCTAGACATCAAAAATGGCTCAATTCTTCATATGTAATCTATTTTAATCATTCTATACTGAATCGCCTGCTTACCAAACAGTGCACATAGAATGAATCGGTATCCCTTCTTTTTTGTATCAAGTAGTGCTCGACTACGTGTGCAGATGAACCATTTACAAAAATGTAAGTACCACTGCTAAGAAAGCACACCGATTCTTTCTCAAAGATTAAAATATTTCGACAACATGTGCATATTCAGCTAGAAAAATATGCATACAGAATATTTTTGTATCTATATTTTGGAGTGGGAATGAATAATTATGGGTATTTCTTGTGTCCATAAAAGTATAAGCCAAAATTGTAAATTGAAGCGTTCAGACTAATGTCTATTTTCAATTATAATATTGACAACAGTACAATCACTGCATGTCTCTTCTGCTATTTAATCCAGGAGCAGTTTGCAGTGAAAAAAAATCATTAATATCATGTGCACTCTGTTTGAAATATTTCTAGATCAGACAGCAATATACTGTTTTATTTTTAATTCTTCAGTTGCAACATATTTATTCAAATGTAGAAATAGTTTAAGTGGTAAATGCATTTCGGCTGGAGTGTCATATACTAGAGAGTTACGTCGTTTGCTTCGCTGTATCAGAAGATCAAGAGGGTCAAACGCTATCACAAATGATAATAGGAGAATATGTTTGAAGGAAATAACAGTGACATAATAAAAATAGCAACACGAGGAACTTTGTTTTACAATCAAAGAGAACTTGGTGCGTTTTTCCAGGTCTGCCTTTTTTCATCGTAATTATCATATTCTTTGGTATATATTTTTGAAAAGACCGTAATATCACTTCCTGCTGACATTTTTGGATACTATAGTTAAATGTGCAGTGTTTGGAACAGACACTATTAATCCAATTTTTCAGCCTTGATTAAGCTACAGTAAAACTAGAGCACACCAACAACTATCAAGGACAATATAACATCTTGGTTATTATGCGTCCGATCAGCCCCTATCAGTCCATTCTGTTGTTTCAATAGCATAAGATGAACTGTGTTCACTTCAGACATCATGTCTTTTCGTGATAGAGACCAAAAGACATTGGAGAACAAGTAGTATGATGAAAGCAAATAGTGATGCAGCCAGCACCTTTTCAACGGCACGAGCAAATTTGTGCTTCTGCTTTTACCTTGTCAAACACGAAATTTTTCATTACCTGTGTGCTTGGAATTCTCCAACAAGCTAAAATAATATTTTGACCGATATTGGCATGTGAGTATGGGTGTGGATGAAAGGCTTCAATTCAACCACATCCCATCCCCATCCACAATATTACATTCAAACCTAGGGGTACAAAGGTAGCGATCATTGAGCGATATATCATCACGACTGCACCGGTCGAAACCAATAACCGTAGGTATCGTTATTGATTCAAGCGCAGTTTCAAAAAAGACAGGGTTTTTTTTCAGAAATAAACGATCTTTTTATAAAAGTCAATGCAAAGAAATCGGAGTCTGGAAATCTGAATCTGCAATCAGCTTTCGAAATGTTGAGTTCTTATTTTTTTCACGAAATGTTCTTTTTTAGGAAAAAGTGTTTTTTTTTAACAAAAAGAAGGGTTTTCTCGTACAAAATTCAAACGAAAATTTCGAAAAACTGATGCAGATTCATATTCCTCTGCCTCGATTTGCTTTCAGTGTGGGCGTGGATAGGTGTGATTGTTCCCTTTTTCCACATCTATACCTTCTGTCAAACACGAACTCACACACCCACATTCTTCAACAGCATGGTTCTTGGTCGCGCGTGCGTGAATAGTCATTTTCTACATTAGTTCAATGTGTTTCATTTGAAAGAAAAGAAATCAATTCATCGTAATGAATTTATTCGATAGGAAATTGTTGAATACGGTGATTGTTCGTGTCGGAGACATAAAGATTGCCATGTCGATCGAAGGATAAACTGATCGGATGGTACAACTGATTTGTGTCTTCTCCTTCACCATTTCCACCCACAATCACAGTGCCTTGTATCGCTTCTTGAGGCCAACGCATCACTCGATCATTCCTTGAGTCTGCCACATAGAGAATACCCAACGCATCGACAAACAGTCCATTAGGATACAACAATTGTGTCAGACCATTTCTGAAGCCTTGTCCACAGGCAACGATAGTCCCGTTCGTTGCATCTTTATTCCATTTCATTACACGAAAATTCCTGTTGTCTGACACATAGATATTCTGTTGTCGATCGACAAAGAGATAAGTTGGTCCGTTGAGTTGATTAAGATCAGCACCAGGGCCATTGCCACCAGCTACGCGAACGACAGTGTTGTTATCCATTTGATATCGTCTAATTTCATGTTTTTCTGAGTCAGACACGTAGAGATATCGTTCATCATCCATAGCTAATCCATAGCAATCGCTGTTGTCAATGAGGATTTCTCCTTGTGATGTGCCACTACGACGAGACCATCGTACAACTCGTTGATTCCCGTTATCACAAATAATAAGACTATCTGTCTTTTTGTCGATTAATACATCGGTTGGAAAAGACAATTGATCTAAATCCTTTCCTCGACTCTTACCACCAGCAACGATACGTCCATTCGGATCACCTTTCTTCGTTTCGATGATACGATTGTTTCCGTAGTCAGCAATAATAACTGTTTGGTCATCATCAATGCATAGACCGTGAGGCTCGTAGAGTTGATTGTTAGCACTGCCTAAATCGTTGCCTCCAGCAACAGTCACACCATTCTGTGCCCATCGTGCATTAGCAGGAATATTAGGCATGACTATAAGAAACGAATAGAATAGGAGCTCTTCACCATGTGTGATTGTAATATATTAAAAAGGAGATATACGTGTATGAAGATAACTTGAGAAATCTTTCGTGATGGTATCTTCAAAGGAATTTTTTTCGTCGGCATTGAAATCAGAAATTATTGCTAATAGAATAATGTAGTATCGTGAAGTCTGTGCTTAGAAGAGAATCCTTCAATAACATCACTTATTTTAGAGGAAGAAGAAAATTTAGAATTACATGAAGGTTTTTTAGGAATACAAAGAGATCTTACTTGTTAGCATTTACAAGCAATCCAAGAAAATCTCTAAATAGAGCAAGAGAATTTTTTTTTTGCAAATCAGAAATGTTAAACATAACGAGAACCTATTATAAAAAAAACTTGGCTTTTGATCAGAAGTATTCGATAAAATTGCAAGAACAAGGTTTTCTCGATGACAAGGATTGCCCCAAATCTACCTATTGGATATGATCGGGTTAGCCGACGACTGACTCTTAAATTAAAAAAAATTCGATAAGAACAGTTTTTGTTGGAAACTGTCTAGTTACATTATTTCATATTATCATCCGTGCGTGTTTTCTTTTTGTTTCTTCCTTGTTCTTCTCTTTTTTCTTTCTTCTTTTTCTCTCGTCTTTTCTAATGATTCGTCGCCCAGATATTTCACACTGTTCCAAAAGTATCGATAGGGTAGCAGAAAAGTACTACGGAAATAAGTTGAATATGGGTGAGAGTATTTGTCTTCTCTCCACATATATTCCACACCCACACCCACACCCACACCCTAGATATTGGCGTTTTGGAAATAATGACATCGGATGAGTTCAAACAGTCAACGAGCCGTACAGATATCTATATGCTCTAGCAACTTGACACTGACTTGCATGTCAACATCTCACATTGAAAGCACTTTTTTAAACATTGACAACCAGTGTTGTTCAAGGCTGAGAAGCAGTATATTATAAAGGCAAAACATGTTACTCACCCGAGAATCTAGCAAGTCGGACCGATGCTCGTTACTTGTTTCGTTCATGTATTATTGACTTTGTTTCGAGAAAAAAAAGCTTTTTAACAAAAATTAGTTTGAAATTTAACTAAATCCAGCATGAAAGTTTCAAAGTATCCTTGCTTTCACTCCAACTTCATAGTTACAAGTTCGGTGATTTCACTTCAAGTTTAAATTTGATTCTGTCGATACGTGAAATTAACTATGAGTTTTAAGTTTTAGTTATTTTATTTCCAATCTAACAAATTATCATCAATACCTTACAATTAGAGTGTCACTGCTCTAGATCAGTTTATCTACGGCGGTGAAGTCAGTATCCTTCATATCTTTTGAAATTCACCTTCTTATCAGTATTTTGTTTAACTAAAGAAGTATTCTGAAACGAATTTGGCTCTTACCTGATGCATTCATTGGTGAAAGTGTCAATGATCCTAAACCAGTGACAATCACGGTAAATTGTCCTGTGACGATAGGTTTATTTGTCGTAACAACTAAATAGTATGTCGTTGCAGTATCAAGCCAAATATATACACGAAATTGATGATTGCCGGCACCGTCATTATTGCTTGCTAGTAAATTTTCAAACGGATCAGCAGGAACTAAAATCTTTTTGTACATATATCCATAGGTATCGATGTTACTGATCGATTTAAACAAGTAGTATCCAGGAATAGAAAAATTCAGAGTAAAAGCTTGATAATAGTAGGCAGCTGTTGAACAGTCGCCTACACGACAAAATTGTTCACTAGCATTAGTCAGCACTGTTGAATACTGTGAAGTGATGATGTTTGTAGTGTCTAATCAGAAAAAATGAGAAAATTACACTCTTAATTCGATCTTGTACTATTCGTTGGTTTTAGTCAAAACGAACTGCCAAGGATTATTTATTTGTGATTTTAAAAAAGCAAGAAAGAAATAAGGTAGTAGATTACAATCAAAACACACATTTACAGATGTGCTGAACAGCGTAGCAACGCTGCCAGCCGGAGCACGTTTTTCTCTAGCGTGCTACTTGATTCAACAAATAAATTTTCGAGATATTATGTTGAAGCGAAAGGCTTACCAAAGTTTCCTTTGAAGAATGAAAAAAAATTATTTGATTTGTTTTCAACTGCTTTACAGATATAGCTTCTGACTTATACAAACATGTAATAAATTGTTGAAAATTTGTAATGGTCCCGACATCTTCCGTAATTGTATTTATTGAAGTACATGATATCTGCGGAATGTCACTATCGAACATTCAACAAATGCTAATTTAGGGATTCAGAAAATAAAAGAGATGAGCATTAGAATGAATAGTTCAGAGGAATAAACACATGATAAAGCACTTATGAAACAAGATAAAAGATGAAAAGAAGAAGGAAGACGATATCGATATCAGTCAATGATTTTCATCAGATTCGATCAACTTGTGAATCTCTGTGTACTATGCAGAAGATTAGAGAGAATATCTTGAATCAATGAAGAGAAGAAGCAATTTTTTCATGGAAACCCATGCATAGGATAAAAATCTTCATAAGTTTAACCATGGATTCAATCACTTCTATGCGAAACATTATACATGAAGTTCGAATATTCATCATAGACGCAAGTTGAATTTCTCTGAATAAACAAGTGAAAACTTGAGGTAAAAACTAACTACGCTATTCAATCCGTATAAGAATGTTTCTCGAATGTTGATACCATGAATAAAAAGATTTTTAAAGAACTCGAAAACCTGTAGAAAAAAGTATGAAAATTACTCAAACGTCACAATAGTGGTGTCGAAAGGTCTTCGGATAATCGGTTACATATGTTTACGAAGATAA